TTCTTGATCCTTCTCTTTCTTCCTCTCCCTTCTATCTTTCTTTTCACTCCCTCTCTTTTATTTTTCTTCCCTGCTTCTCCTATATCCTCCATCAAACGTCTATATTCCCTCTAGATCTCTCAGTGTCGCATACAGAGACGAACCCCTTGCAAATCTGGGGGGGAGGGGGGGGTGGGACGTGGGCACTGGAATATACAGTAGACACCTTTCATCTTTTACTGTTATTTTAACTAGGCCGGAATTCTCTATGCTGTGATCAGGTCTAACCTAATCTAACCTAACCTAACGTGTGTCTTGAGTCAGCTTAAGTCACCTTGATGTTATGAAAATTGGGAATTCTTTGTGACAGACAGACAAAGACCGAAACATACATAAACACATCCATTTATCTTGTTTCCTTAATAACTTTCTCTTGCATTTTTATCCTACAACTGCCTCTCTTCCCTTCTTTATTTAAGTTTCTATGCATCGTTGATCTACACACAAACAAAAGAATGATAAGTATAATAATAAAAAAGTCTCCCCTTCATCTTCTACACCATTTTCTTTCTTCCACAGAGGGTTTAATACTGGCTGAGGAGAAAATAATGCTTTCATATTACACTTTTAAAAGAATGGTAAAACCTGGAGCTATCCGGGTCAACTCCACACTTCCTTGGTTAAGAAACAGATACCTAAAGAGTCTATTTATTTATCTTTTTTCTTATGATTCTAGTTTTGTGTTCAGCGAATCAGAAAAGTTCAGAAACGTTATTTACTGCGAAGGAGACTATGCTAACGTTGAAGTGATGCGAGAGGCGGGAGAAGACAACAGTTATGTGTGTAATAAATGAAGATGTTTAGAAATACCAGATAAATAAAGAGAGATAATACAGAAGTTGGTGGAAGATAAGTGAAGAAAGCGATAAAAGTGGGAAAATATAGCATAGCATAACACACGTACTTGTTCAATCGGTAGACTTAACTTAGTCTCGTAGCGTAGGAACAGAATCATCATCATCACTGTTTACTCCGCCATTCTCTGTAAACAAACAATACATACACTTCAGATTTACATATTAGGAGCTGACCTTTAAAATCTGACCTTCTCTAGTAACACAAGCGAATCACTCCACTTACTGACCTACAACCCTTTGGTCACCTCAGGAGTAATCAAACCGCAGCTTATTTTACCTGATCAAATTCTCTAACATTACCTGAGGTTTTAGTTAGGTGATGTTAATGTGAAATAAACTGAGGTTCCAATCTTCAGGTGATCCAAAGAAATATAAAACTACGAGAATCATATGAAAAGTTCACAATATGAGGTTCTGAGACCATGAATATTAGCACAGGAATGTTCTGCTGAAGTTGTGTACGCGTGTGTGTATGTGTGTGCAGGAGGCGTGTGTGTGTGCGTTTAACTGTGTGTCGGGGCGTTTGTGTGTGTGTAACTGTGTGTCTGGGTGTTTGTGTGTGGGGTTGTTTGTGTGCGTCTATGTCTGTGTGTGTGTGTGTGTGGTTAAGAAGTTGAAAAATTTTACGACCACAGCCTCCTACACTAGACGTGGCTGACCTCTGGCCAAAGCCGTCAGCTGGACCAACCATAACTACCATTGCCAATCGTATACACTGACTCACACATTAATGGGTTGGTGTTTATGAACAAAACACGAGAAAAACACAAAACATGGGGTGTCTGTGTGTTTGTTTCTCATATTTTAACCTCGACAAGTGTAATTATTAAATTAGTCACGCATTTAAAAGACCTTAGCTAAATGAGTTGTAGTAATGACATAACACCAACACCACGCATATCTTCTGGCGCTGCTCTAGTTCTCGCTGGGAGTCTTTTCATGTATTTATTACTTTGGTGAGGATGGAATATCATCTATCAAGAGCTAGACGTCAAGGTTAAAAATATCACCATCTTGGACAACTCACTGACACGCATGGAAAGTGAATCTCAATCGTTTTTCTTCGTCTAAGAAAAACAATTCTAACTTTAGCTCTATAGTTGCTGAGAGAGGAATTTCCGGAGCGGCAGTGGAAGATGGGAAAGTTGTGAGAGTTATAACAGTGATGGGAAAGTTGTGAGAGTTATAACAGTGATGGGAAAGTTGTGAGAGTTATAACAGTGATGGGAGAGTTGTGAGAGTTATAACAGTGATGGGAGAGTTGTGAGAGTTATAACAGTGATGGGAGAGTTGAGTTATAACAGTGATGGGAGAGTTGTGAGAGTTATAACAGTGATGGGAGAGTTGTGAGAGCTACAGTAAATGGTGGAGAGTTTCACAGTACACTAACTATACACGCCGTCGTTCAAATGTTTTTCTCACTCTCCAAAAAATCGTCTGGTGAAGCAAGCGGTCGGTGAAGCAAGAGGTCGGTGAAGCAAGAGGTCGGTGAAGCAAGAGGTCGGCGCATCACATCGTCGGGTCGCGGAAATATATATCTGAGGGAAGTTCCTGTTCATACATGGTCTTGGTGAGAATCCATCTATCACGGACCATGTATCACGGACAATCTATCACGGACCGAATGAAAATAACATGGCTACAGTCCTAAGTGAATGTGAAGTGTGGAAAAATAACTGTGATATCATGCAAACACTGCAACATTTATCTGCGTGTTTGTGTGGCTGTGGTGGAGAAAGACGCGGAGAGTGTAGGCAGACTGGCGCCACGACACTACGCTTGGGGTGGTATGCAAGTGTACTAGCAACCATGAGGAAGGAGGGGGGGGGGGAAGTAGAGATGGAGAGAGACAAAGGAGAAGATAGACTCCAAAAGACTATTTATTATAATGAACAAAGTATTAGTTACAAGGTTAATAAAAATAAATAATCTTCGCTTCCAAATATTTTGCAGGAGGGAAACGAAAACCATTAATATCGTCAGAGAAAATAACGAAAGTGAATGAGAACGATCCATCACGTGAGGCTGAAAATTAAGTTCTCACTAACATTAATATCTGGAGGGAGGGAGTGTCGGTGCTCTCAACAATATCTTCCTCAGTCTTTTTCCTGAACTGTCAAAGATGCCTTCGTTATAGTTGAGTTTCATAACAACTAATAGTAGGCGTTAGGATGAGTAATTAAGAGCATGACGTAATGGGTGGCGGGCATTAAGACACTGATGTTGTCTCAGCAGTGAGTTAAGATGCATGCGAGGTCTGCTGTGTCTCATATATACTGTTGGTACTGTACAGTGTTCACGTATACGTCTGTAGGTATAGGACCGTTTCCTAAAACAGAATATGACTGAATATTTTTGACAACTACTAAATATGTTAGGAGTTAATGAGAGAGAGAGAGAGAGAGAGAGAGAGAGAGAGAGAGAGAGAGAGAGAGGTTCCCCGCCTTGTATCAGACGCCTTCATCAGCCAGCTCTCCCCGACGTGAAGAAATAAATTGGCATAATCGAGTTACTCTGTCTTGTGGAGGAGGCGGTGAAGCAGCTGGCTACACCATCACCTTAGAGGGCGAGGCAGAGGGCGGGGAAGGTCCTGGCAGGTTAAAGACCCAAGTGTTATCCTGAAGAAGGGAGTGTGAGGTGGGACTCCTTCTCACCAGGTATTGTGTTGATCTACTGTGAAGAGCTTCGAATTATCGTAAAGCTGGGGACGCCCGTGGTAGTGAACTTGGTCCTGTGAAAACTTAGCTCACGTGTCTATGGCTGTTAACTGTGTGACCTTCTCAGTAATAACAAATAAACTAAGCTGTGATTGGAGGAGACGCTGTAGGGGAGTGTAGACCAATTGGTGCTCATAATGTTGTGTTGTGGAATATCTGGTCACGGTAGGAACATCTCCGTCCGCCATATTGGACCATGAGGTAAAATATTCAATCCTATTCTTATTACTCGTAGTGGTAGAGATATTAACATGATGACGGGGATACATAACCAACACGAGTGATTTAATAGTCGTGAGTTAAAAGTTTCATATCGATGTAGAATATTAACGTCAAAGTAAAGTTTACAAAGATGTTTCATTAACTGTATAATAGATTGTGAAGAAGGTTAATTGCATTTATAATTATTAATGATTGTTGGGTTAGAAAATAATTATGGTCATTTAATCGATTATATTCGTTGTTTATACTCGTGTTGGGTGGCGCCATAGCGAAACACTTTACTGCACATCTGTATATTGATCGGCCTCAGAACTCCCCTCACGTCTCTTCCAGACTTAATGAGGTAGAAATCGCTCCATTCATAAGACATCGTCCGAATGAATGTAAATCTTGGCTCAGAACCATTAATCTGCAACTATGACGTCTTTTCTGTATATTAAATGTAATTACTGGACTGCTGCAAACTGTCCCGTCATCATTTTCTTTGACTTCCGTAAAGTTAAGGATTTTTCTAACACCCAAGAGCCCTCATTCAGTATGTTATCATTGCCCGAAACTTTTTTACCTTACCAGTACATGTTTATTAAACCTATCAAGTTATAGTAGAAACCCGAAGATGACAACGTAATACTATATCCATCGGGGGAGACCAAGGGTTAGGTTAAGTTAGGGTAGGTGACCGAAATGTAACAGCGTGCGTGTGTCAATACTCGGGAATTTGAAGTGATATATGAAGTACTTGTCTCAGTCTACGAGCTAAAAGGAAGATTTATTTCCTCCTCTATTAAGTGCTGAGAAGGTGAATTAACATTACCATGCATATACTGTACATACACATGTTTCTGTACCAGGTGTGACTAACACCATGTTAATAAACCATTTCTTGCTAACTCCTTCATTATTCGACACTTTTAATATTTTTTTCTCTTAGGAGTAACGCCAGGCGGTTTTATCTCTACATCAGCCCTCTACTTCACGCTGGTCGCTGCTCATTTTCTTAATAGTTCTGTCCATCACTTGAAGAAATTGGATATTTAACATTGTTGAAAGTTAAACCAATTTTGATTACATAATGTGAATCCTTAGTCAGTATGTAGTCAGTATGAGGGTTTTACGACACAGGTGTACGCACAGGTGGGAGGCGAAGCTGTGTATAAAAGCCCCATCTTTGCTGGTCCCCTTCAGCAGTGGACGGCCGTCACCAGCACCGCCTCCGTCACCAGAGAATTCTCTTACTGCGTCACGATAACCAAGAGAAGGTCTCCCCCGTCACCATGACAGCCCAGAAGCTGGTGTTAGCACTCTCACTTCTGGTGAGTGCCTCTTCCTCCACCACACAGGCTGTCACCCTCCACCACACAGGCTGTCACCCTCCACCACACAGGCTGTCACCCTCCACCACGCAGGCTGTCACCCTCCACCACGCAGGCTGTCACCCTCCACCACGCAGGCTGTCACCCTCCACCACACAATCTGTCACCCTGCACCACACAATCTGTCACCCTCCACCACACAGGCTGTCACCCTCCACCACACAGGTTGTCACCCTCCACCACACAGGTTGTCACCCTCCATCACACAGGCTGTCACCCTCCACCACCACACTTATGTCCCTACACCCACAAGGAAGTCGTATCATCACTGTATGGTATTGTCAGGCGTGTAGTGAGGCAGTCTGTCAGGCTCATCTTGGCTGTCATCGTTCTTTCGTCTCGGCTTTAACTCACATGGGTGTTCGTTCCTTTCTCAGTCCTTCTGTCTGCACGGTTCAAGTGTTCAGTAATTATATATTGTATCTGTTCAGTCACTTAATCGTCCGTATGAGCGCCTCTTGGGGCATAGTTCTGGTGCCACCTGAACACAAAGAATAATTATCAATATTAATTTTGGTTTTGAACTTCCCCGTGAGAGTAAATATATGATCAGTAATATATTTGAAGAGTGTAAATACTGTGGTAAGTTTTCTAATTAACACCAACAAGTACGGTGATACTGTACAATTGGCCCGTAGTTGGTGACAATATTATACTCTTGAAGCTAACATTATCTAAAGTTTGTTTTTAAACCTTTCGTGTGTGTGTGTGTGGTGGTGACAATAAACGTGGTATAATATTAAGTACTGGTGTCAACATTGCTTCAAGTTCACAAATACTTTAATAATGTGTTTTGTTTTTTCAGGTTTAATAATGTTCGTATAACGTGTTTAGTTCCCCCGCCAGTCACTAGTGATGGATTCTGATTATTTTATCTTATTTTTGTTAGTGTGTGTGGCTGGAGTGTGAGGCCAAGTCGTTTGATGGTAATGTCAGGAAGCTGGACCTTGGGCAACATATCAGTGCCCCACGGGGCGAGGAGCGTCAAGAGCTGTTCTCAGGGCTACTCAATGTGACACTGCTGCCACCTGTTGTGCCTACTGACAACTTCTTTATTGACGGACCACAGCCAAAGGACTTGGGCAACACCAATACTCGACGTAAGTGTCTTAGTCATACTATGTCCTCTGGTTAACGAGAAGCAGGAAGACTCATGGATTGGACATGTAGAGAGAGACATGTAACCAGGTTGTGTTTATTCCAGAAGTCTTGGCGTGTGGCGACACCATATCTCTTCAGCCTGGTAACGTGGTTGCGTTCGAGTCGATGAATTATCCAAACCAATATCCCAACAGCCATACGTGTGTTTGGAAATTCAAGGTGAGTGTGTGTGTGTGTGTGTGTGTGTGTGTGTGTGTGTTATGTTCCTTTTAGGTTACGTTCGAAATTTTATAAGTTTATAAGTGTATCGTGTAAGCAAGTGTCTAAAAGTGTATCAAGATTATAACACACAATAAATTTTTATGATATAATTTACCTCAGAAACACAGACACACTGACCTAGTTTTACCCACACTACTCGATAAAGGTCAGTGATTATTCTCGACTTCCTATACTCTCTCTCTCTCTCTTGTAAACCTTTACCTCGGAAGAGTCTATGGACGCCGGAATTCAGAGAAACCTCCTTCAACGTGTCAATCTTGTGTGTCATTCTGTTGTGTTTTGTTATGGTGTTTCCCGTCCACAAGAAAGAGCTGTTTATCTCCATGTATGCATACTATACACACCCAATTTTCCATGTACACACACACACACACACACACACACACACTACATACATGGTGTGACTTTGGTTCTAGTAACATTGTCCACACTCTCTATAATTAGGTATACCGTTGTTATAGACTTTATTTTCGTGATAATCTTTGGTCATGTTACTGTGCTCGTTGAACAGACTGGTGCTGCTGACGCCACTTTAACTGTAACGTGTGAACCATTCTCCACTGAAACACTCAGAGACACGTTGACCTTCATAGAACCTCGGCTACCAAAGAGGAGAAGGAACGTTGCCCGGTAAGTGACGCACCAGGTATTATTTGATTTACTTTTATATAAGAAAAACGTTTAATATATTTCTGACCGTGAAAAATATTTTGGAATAATGATAAGTAGGAATCTTTAACCAAGCAAATAACGTGTATTTGCTCGAAACAAGGCTAACAAAATAATTGGGTTCATGAAAAGGAGTGTTAGTTACAAGACTAGCGAGGTCATCCTAAAACTATATCTTGCGCTTGTGAGACCTCACTTGGATTACGCAGTTCAGTTCTGGTCACTGTACTACAGAATAGATATAGAATCCTTGGAAAGAATTCAGAGGAGAATGATAAGACTAATCCCGGGCATAAGGAACCTTGAGTACAGAGACAGGTTAAAACATCTTAATTTGCACTCCCTCGAGAGACGTAGAGTGAGGGGCGATATGATCGAGTTGTATAAATAGAAGTCAGGGCAAAACAAAGGGGATATAACAAAGGTACTCAAACTATCCAACCTGGTGATCTACCTGTTGGTTACCCAATGGAACTCGGGAATAATCTACATCTTAATTAATTTTACTTTTGTATATTTTCTTAAACTGATTCAGATTTTATAAGAACCATCTCACAAAATAAAACAATCAAAATAACAACTGACAACTTCACATCTTCCCGACAGAGTAAGTGGATCCTTGAAACATTTTCAAATGATCAGTTCCACTAATTATGTGAAGGCGACTTTCAAAACCAATTTATCAAGAGCCTCGACAGGATTCAGCTGCACCGTCAGTGTTACGGGTGAGTTTGTTTGATCTTTTCCCACCTGGATGTTAGCGAGATGTTGAGTACCTAAGGCTGTTGCTCCTCAAGTTTTCATTCCTCCCTGATGAGTAGAACCTTGGCACAAATAAGGTGTAACTGTTCCCTCGAGTCACTCTTGTTAGTTGAGACAAAGATCAGGATCAAGGATCAGTGGAAGTTAATCATTTGTCTACATTTAACATCAGAAGGTAATGAGATTATTACCCATTAAGAGGACGCTCATATAGACACAGGTGAGGAAACGTTCTCAAGGTGAATACACCATTAAGCTACCTGAGCTTTGTAAGAAACACCTTGAAGCTGCACTGGCGAGTGTTTCAAGGATCTTCACTTGATGTAAGAAAATAACAAATAGAAGTAATTTAGAACGTATAAATATTGATAATTAAGTGATGCAATTAGGTCAAGTATCCAAAGACTTACACGACTAATAGAAGTTATTTGTTTGTTTACGTCTGACGTCAGGTCGTGTTGGCCCTGATGTTGGTGGTCTCTCTCTCTCTCTCTCTCTCTCTCTCTCTCTCTCTCGGGATATAGAGTGTGGGGGTCACACACCTGCCGTCGTACATAAGACAACAGGCAGGTGTGTCAGGCAGGTATGTCAGTCTCTCCACACTTACTTCCTCTCATTCAGTTTAGTCCATACTTAGTTTATGTTTAAAGACAAAAGTCAAAAGCCTGAGCAATTTAATTTCACATCCAAAGTAAATTAAAACTTTCTACTGTACCCACAGGAACCGCCGCCGCCACCACCACCACCACCACCCCGCCACCACCACCCGCCACCCACCACCACCCCGCCGCCACCACCACCACCACCACCACTCCCACCGACAACTGTGGTAAGTTTATCAACATAATGGACACACCGTGAGACCATATGCTATGTACAGTGAAACAAGAACTCGATAAAATTATAAATTAAAACACACAAACAAGAATTGCGTTAACAAAACAACTAATGACTGTTGCCTCACAAAAATTATATTATACATCACTCGTTTGTAATTGTTATTTTTTATTGTTAATATGTTAAAAGGTCTTCAGAGAATTGAAGTGATCATAATAACGTGATTAGTATTTTTTTAGGCGTTTAACCTCTATAGCACATCTAGGCACAACGCACACACACACACACCTTGGGAGGTTAGGTTAGTTTGGATAAGATAGGATAGGATAGGATAGGATAGGATAGCGTTAGGATGGTTGATCTTCAGGTGATCCAAAAGTGGGTTCCTCGCAAAAATAAACCTGAAGGCAAGAAAAAATTGTATCATATATACATATATTTCTAATAGTCTTGATATGGTTAGAGAATGACTCATTAACGTGTTGAATCACCATAGTTGTTGAAGCAACTGTTAGTTAGATAGATAATTACCCTGTAAACTTAGCTCACTACCTTACAATGGTTCAACATGTATATAGCCAATAGAGGTACAGACCAGCCGGCATATAGACAACACAGGTATTAAGAAGCTGACAATATACTGAAGGCGATTTCTTTCTCTTATATCCAGAGTGTGGGAAAGCCAACACGGGTTCTCGCATTGTTGGGGGAACTGAAACGCTTGTCAATGAATACCCATGGCAGGTCGGGGTAGTTAGGGAAACAGATGGCGTCAAAAACTTGATATGTGGAGGATCAATCATTTCTAACCACTGGGTCCTGACCGCTGCTCACTGCATTGACAGGTAAGTACTCACATTATACTTTTGAGTACGATAAACATTCCCTGCCAAGACTTAATCGTCAGGATATGATGAATAATTTCCCTAGAGTACAATAACTTTAAACTTTTGTATACAATGACTTCAACATTAAATGCCATCTTAACTTTACCACTTCAGCAATGCTATAGAAGTACTGGTGGGCGACCACGACTTCACTACCGGAACTGACACCCAGGACCCGGCATATCTCTACGCAGTTGATAGGGTGAGTAAAGCTGCATATCGGCTGAACAGAACTGACACTTTAATATGTCAGTTGTATGTCAGTTATTAATTACCTTTTGTTTACTTTTTATTTTGTAAACATAAACCCCTCATCTGTTTGTCTTGTAGTGGATGAGACAAACTACAGGTAAAGATCTGGAGTCCCTCAAGTGTTTTATATATACTGTTTAGTCCACCTGACAAGAACGAAACAGATGAATAGAATAAAAAATATTTGGAAGTAAAAATAATTGAACGAAATAATTATTGCATAACAGAACGTAATTTGCATATATTAACTGATTATACATAACCCAAAACCATTAACTGTACACACACGTACAGCTCAAATTATAATCATATTCTGAGTTACCAAATTAGTAATCAATGTTTTGTGCTAAGGGAATATATGGATTGATATACAAATACCTTTATTTATAGAAAATAGTCCACGCAGACTATGTCGAAGCCGTGAACGGATTCGACATAGCCCTGCTACACACAACGCAGCCATTGGACTTCACCAAGTATGGTCAAGCACCAGTGTGTCTCCCTCCAGATAAGACCAGACTCTACGTTGGTGAAACAGCCACTGTGTCTGGCTGGGGCACTACGAGTGAAGGTGACAGCTATTCTTTACGTCTCTCAACTCAACGATGAAATAAGATTAACAGTTACAGTTTATTGCAGTTGGGGGTAATTCTTGAATGAATCTCACTTGCCTATTATGTATAGTACTGAAAGGATTATTGAAATGATACTTTTATTATTCAGGAGGAAGTTTAAGCAAGACCCTGCAGGAGGTAGATGTGCCAGTAATATCAAACAACGACTGCCAGAAAAACTATAATCCCACCAGCTCCATGCTGTGTGCCGGGGAAGAGGGCAAGGACTCCTGCCAAGTGAGTGCATAATACTCTCTTCGTTTCATATTAAGTGACAAATAATGAAAGAAACGGTGAAGCAAGTTTGTGTTGAGAGTGACAACATGAAGTAGAGGATTATAGGGTACCAGAAGCCCTAGTGAGGCGTGTAGCGAGTGTACGTGTGTCACAGGTGCCAAGCTGCGTGTGTGTGTAACAACGTTTTCTGTCATTATAGTTTAACTTTGTGATGGTCAACTAAATATCACAACAGCTTAAAGTTAATTGAGTCAATATATATGATTAAGGGGAACTAGAGGACAACACAGTACTAATTAGCCAACACCTCCACAAGGGGCCGAGACCTTTACGCGGGTGAGACGAGACGACCCGGAATATTTTGCTCAACAGAAAATCTCACGGAAAATAATATCTGTTTCAGGGAGACTCAGGAGGCCCGCTGGTGTACAACAACAACGGCATATATGAACTCATTGGTGTTGTGTCGTTTGGAATAGGTTGTGCACGTCTCGGCTATCTTGGAGTGTACACACGAGTTACTAGTAAGTACTGTACTACCCTTGTACACCTGATCTAAAATGTACACCCAAGTTACTAGTACTACCCTTGTACACCTGATCTAAAATGTACACTCGTGTTACTTACAAGTGCAACACTAAGTTCCATAACACTATTTATCACGTCACTCATTACTTATTCATTGTGGTTTTATCACACCTGTCATCACTGTACTATCATGGTTATATCACACCTGTCATCACTGTACTATCATGGTTATATCACACCTGTCATCACTGTACTATCATGGTTATATCACACCTGTCATCACTGTACTATCATGGTTATATCACACCTGTCATCACTGTACATCCTGTCATCACTGTACTATCATGGTTATATCACACCCTGTCGGTTATATCACACCTGTCATCACTGTACTATCATGGTTATATGGTTATATCACACTGTCATGGTTATATCACTGTGTACTATCATGGTTATATCACACCTGTCATCACTGTACTATCATGGTTATATCACACCTGTCATCACTGTACTATCATGGTTATATCACACCTGTCATCACTGTACTATCATGGTTATATCACACCTGTCATCACTGTACTATCATGGTTATATCACACCTGTCATCACTGTACTATCATGGTTATATCACACCTGTCATCACTGTACTATCATGGTTATATCACACCTGTCATCACTGTACTATCATGGTTATATCACACCTGTCATCACTGTACTATCATGGTTATATCACACCTGTCATCACTGTACTATCATGGTTATATCACACCTGTCATCACTGTACTATCATCACTGTTATATCTATCCTGTCATCACTGTACTATCATATCACACCTGTCATCACTGTACTATCATGGTTATATCACACCTGTCATCACTGTACTATCATGGTTATATCACACCTGTCATCACTGTACTATCATGGTTATATCACACCTGTCATCACTGTACTATCATGGTTATATCACACCTGTCATCACTGTACTATCATGGTTATATCACACCTGTCATCACTGTACTATCATGGTTATATCACACCTGTTATCACTGTACTATAATGGTTATATCACACCTGTCATCACTGTGCTATCATGGTTATATCACACCTGTCATCACTGTACTATCATGGTTATATCACACCTGTCATCACTGTACTATCATGGTTATATCACACCTGTCATCACTGTACTATCATGGTTATATCACACCTGTCATCACTGTACTATCATGGTTATATCACACCTGTCATCACTGTACTATCATGGTTATATCACACCTGTCATCACTGTACTATCATGGTTATATCACACCTGTCATCACTGTACTATCATGGTTATATCACACCTGTCATCACTGTACTATCATGGTTATATCACACCTGTCATCACTGTACTATCATGGTTGTAATATCAGATTCCTTCTCCAACTTCTTACTCTGCATTTTGTTCATCACCATTACAGATTACGTCGACTGGATACAACGCTACACTGGAAACTTATGTACTGCAACATCAGGTTAAAGTATGGTGGGTGCTTGTTACTACCACTGACACCCCTGCTGCCTACCTGTCTGCCTGACTCACGACCACCACGGTACCACCTCTCATCTCTACCACAGCTCCACCTCGCTGCCTGCCTGACTCATCACCAGTCGCCACCACCACTCGATTCCTCATAACACCGCAAAAAAATAAAATCGCGGATTGAGCTGACATTTCTTGTGTCGTTTCATAACATCAACGTCTAGGCCTTGTTCAGTAATTATTATGTATTTATGAAAGATGATTTAGCGAGCAAATTTACCACTCGTGGAGTTCTCTAATTGGCTGTTAAACTTCATATACACCAAGATCTTTACGACTGAATTCTGTGGTGAGAAAGCCATAGTTGTTGTGTTTTGTGTCTCAATTGTTAACTCTCATGAGGCATTAAAGTCCCAAATTTGATCATAAATAAAATAACTAATAAACTATGTTAGTGAAGAACAGTATTTAATTCTGTTTAAGTATTTTTCTCCTTCAACAATTAGGTCTTTTAGCTCGTTAAGTAAATTAAGTAACTACTAAATATGAAGTGTTCAATGACTTAATTAAATTATTACTACTGTGGACTTTCACATTGGTTTTAACACAGGTAAATTATTTTTGGTTATGGAATTTATTTATATTTAAAATAATATTGGATCTACCTTAATAAATTTTTCTTGCATTGCACTTTGCTTGTAAATACCTTTGAAAATGATCATTTTGACAAAACCCATAAGACGAAATAAGTCAATCTTATTTAGTTGTCAAAGAGAAAAATGAGCCATAAAGCTTACCAGCATCATAAAGTTCCCCAACACCAAAAACTTCCCCACCACCATAAAGTTCTCTGCATTCTCTTGACGCATTTAAGTAACTGGAATAAACTACAGCGCAACAATTAGATTGATAATGGCACTGGGGTCACAATGAGGCCCTAGGAGACAGTGTGAGCGACGATAAAGGTTGGGGCAGCAGTGAAGGAAACGATGAAAGATTTAATGATAAAAGCATTAAAAAGTAATGAATATAGTGGTGGGGAGACAAGGGGTGATGGGGAGACTAGGGGGTAAGGGGGAGACTAGGGGGTAAGGGGGAGACTAGGGGAGGGGGGAGACTAGGGGTGGCAAGGGACCCGAGAAAGTCACCCTCCCCACTGATGGCAGGCCGCGCGCTGCTGCAGTAAGATGGGGATTAAGGCAGGGAGGGAGGTGAGGAGTGGCTGAGGGAAGGAGGGATAATGCTCAGCCAGCGACCAATAACACGGATGTTACGGCGCCCAGAGGAAATTGAGAAGAGAACTGGAAATTCCCCGCCTGTCGTCAACACACCGTAATGATAAGGACACCGCGCCCAACCAGACCATTATAGGGAAATACTAAAACCGCATTTATTTTCCTATTTCGTGTTTTCTGCAAGTTACCTAACGTCGTGTATGTAAAAACGATTATATAGGGTGTCTCAGAAAAATGTTCCTCCCTACCTCCCTCCAACTCTCAGTATCTCAGGGAGCAGGCAGGAAGGGAGGCAGGGAACAAGCAAGGAAGGAGGCAGGGACATTTTTCTGGGACACCCTATATATTCCGACGATGAAACTGTTTTCTGTAGTATAACGTGGGGAAGGAGGCAAGCCATTGTCGACCATCTACAGATAGTATATGTGACCCGCTGTTGCCACTAGACTAGGAAGTGTGCTTAAGTATGTCAATTATTGCTGTTAGTGGGGAAAAAAAAATTCACGTAGGAAATTTCATTGTGGCTTTATCAAGATTCGAAACGACGACAAAGATTAAGAGTGTTAGAATATAAGGTTATGTAAGTGAGTCCAGCAAAGACGACCTAACAACACTGTACACCCTACCCTCACCCTGCCAACACTACCCTGTCAATACTACCCTGTCAACACTACCCTCACCCTGCCAACAGTACCCTCACCCTGTCAACGCTACCCTCACACCCACGGCTTTGGAGGTCTGAATGAACACAGGGGAGACTCAAGAACACGGCCGGCTGCTAAGGCTTAGGCCACCCCCCCCCCCCGCCCCCGTCCCCTTGCGTGTGTTGAACAGTGAATTATAATAAGGGAATCAAGATCAGGGTAATGGTAGAGAGAGAGAGAGAGGAATGATTCTCTCCGCAGTGACCTAAAAAAACGAAAAATGTTTGAACAAACTGAAAGAAAAAAATTTGTCGGTAGTTCTGAGAGTGATAATTTTCCGTAATGTTTCACCAATATCGGTTCGCTCCTCTCCTTTCGTTTATTTAGTGTGGGTGGGGAGAGTGGGTTGGGGAGTGTGGGTTGGGAGGGAGGTGTGGGTTGGGGGAGTAGAGTGTGGGTTGGGGATGGGGGGGATTGGGGTGAGGGTGGGGGGGTAGTTGGTAAGGGGGTGGTTATAGGGGTGGTTATGGGGGTAGGGGGTGGTTATATGGGGTGGGGGTAGGGGGTGGTTATGGGGGTGGTTATGGGGGTGTGGTTATGGGGGTAGGGTGGTTATGGGGTAGGGTGGTGGGGGTAGGGGTAGGGGGTGGTTAGGGGGTAGGGGGGTTATGGGGGTAGGATGGTTATGGGGGGGGGTGGGGTAGGGGTGGTTATAGGTAGGGAATTGGTTTATGGGGGTAGGGGTGGTTATGGGGGGTAGAGGTGGTTATGGGGGGTAGGGGTGGTTATGGGGGGTAGGGGTGAGTGTATGTAATCAGCCTGGTAAGATGACCCTCACCGTGGTTAGGTTCACGTTAACAGCATTGGTCGGGTAAGCGTTGACGTCACTCGTAGTCAGGACCCCCAACCTGAAGTGACATAATAAGCTGTACAGTAAATCCTCACAAATGTGTTATTACCGGCGGATAAACTTGAACTAAACTTCAAACTGATTTTCATAAGCTACACAAGGTCAACGTTAAATGTTTTCATCACAGTTCTTCGACTTAACGTTATCTAGGGTTGTTTGAAAATCGTCAGTTTTGCTTTAAATAACAGACAATTGCACACTGGTAACGTTAATATATCACCCACTAGAATGTTAGATAAAAATGTGCAACGATTTTAAACAATCAACTTGTGGTTATAAGCGTTTAAGATTATTGACCTTTGTCCTCAACGCTGTTTTGGTGAATAATAATACTTCCGTGTTCCCTAACCACATCATAAGAGTATATTTTTATTATGCTGTAACGTAATCACCCATTTGGTGTTTAACAATTACTGAGGAACGAGTGTATAATTTGACGTAAACAAGACGACACAAATAAAGGTGGTTCAGTAATCCTTAATCCCTGACCTGGCAGTTACGTCAACAAACTCCTAACTACGCCCAGTGTCCAACCTTCACCTCCACTCACCTCGTATTTCTTCTGTACAGCTGACAGGGATGACACTCTCTGAAGCACAAACTTATCTCAGTGTTAAATGATCCACCAACAAAGACTTTTTATCAGAGACGACGTGTTAGCGAGATAATGGCGGCGACAGTTCTGGAGTGATGAGAGTCGGGACAGTGTAAAGTTCGCGCCACAGACTGAAGCAGTATCTACCCCCAGATGAGACAAACAAACATATTTCTCACCAGTTTTGATCTTGTCTCTGTTCTTGATGATAACATATGTTGGGGTAGAGCCCAGGGGAATATTCAATAGTTTAAAACAAATCATATACAAAAGAATATTCGTATTAGTAAACTTTATTTGTATAATAATTATCAAAGTGATGCGTTTGATGTTCCGAACCCCTGAACCGCTTCACGCCCAATTCTGACGTCATATAGCTGTAATTTTAGAGGGTATTTAAAATCAAACTGCATTGCACCAATTATTTATGATATAGATCGAATACATACATATATAATTTGCGTGTGATTTAAAACCCAAAACCAAAAATATTCTTCATCTGTGTTAAATACCAATGTTAAAGTACATAGTATTGGTTTCATTTGTAAGTCACTGAAAACTTCAAATTTAGATGAGAAAAGACCTTGAGATGTTGAAACTGTTCTTCACTAACATAGTTTATTAGTTATTTTATTTATGATCTAATTTAGGACTTAATGCCTCATGAGAGTTAACAATTGAGACACAAAACACAACAACTATGGCTTTCTCACCACAGAATTCAGTCGTAAAGATCTTGGTGTATATGAAGTTTAACAGCCAATTAGAAAACTCCACGAGTGGTAAATTTGCTCGCTAAATCATCTTACATAAATACATAATAATTACTGAACAAGGCCTAGACGTTGATGTTATGAAACGACACAAGAAATGTCAGCTCAATCCGCGATTTTATTTTTTTGCGGTGTTATGAGGAATCGAGTGGTGGTGGCGACTGGTGATGAGTCAGGCAGGCAGCGAGGTGGAGCTGTGGTAGAGATGAGAGGTGGTACCGTGGTGGTCGTGAGTCAGGCAGACAGGTAGGCAGCAGGGGTGTCAGTGGTAGTAACAAGCACCTACTACCTTAACCTGATGTTGCAGTATATAAGTTTCCAGTGTAGCGTTGTATCCAGTCGACGTGACCTGTAATGACGATGAACAAAATGCAGAGTAAGAAGTTGGAGAAGGAATCTGATATTACAACCATGATAGTACAGTGATGACAGGTGTGATATAACCATGATAGTACAGTGATGACAGGTGTGATATAACCATGATAGTACAGTGATGACAGGTGTGATATAACCATGATAGTACAGTGATGACAGGTGTGATATAACCATGATAGTACAGTGATGACAGGTGTGATATAACCATGATAGTACAGTGATGACAGGTGTGATATAGCCATGATGGTACAGTGATGACGGGTGTACGATATAACCATGATAGCACAGTGATGACGTTGTGATATAACCATGATAGCACAGTGATGACAGGTGTGATATAACCATTATAGTACAGTGATGACAGGTGTGATATAACCATGATAGTACAGTGATGACAGGTGTGATATAACCATGATAGTACAGTGATGACAGGTGTGATATAACCATGATAGTACAGTGATGACAGGTGTGATATAACCATGATAGTACAGTGATGACAGGTGTGATATAACCATGATAGTACAGTGATGACAGGTGTGATATAACCATGATAGTACAGTGATGACAGGTGTGATATAACCATGATGGTACAGTGATGACCGGGTGTGATATAACCATGATAGTACGTGATGACAGGTGTGATATAACCATGATAGTACAGTGATGACAGGTGTGATATAACCATGATAGTACAGTGATGACAGGTGTGATATAACCATGATAGTACAGTGATGACAGGTGTGATATAACCATGATAGTACAGTGATGACAGGTGCGATATAACCAGGATAGTACAGTGATGACAGGTGTGATATAACCATGATAGTACAGTGATGACAGGTGTGATATAACCATGATAGCACAGTGATGACAGGTGTGATATAACCATGAAAGTACAGTGATGACAGGTGTGATATAACCATGATAGTACAGTGATTGAGCAGGTGTGGATCTTAATATGATAGTACAGTGATGACAGGTGTGTGATATAACCATGATAACACAGTGATGACAGGTGTGATATAACCATGATATTTGAGTGATGACAGGTGTGATATAACCATGATAGCACAGTGATGACAGGTGTGATATAACCATGATAGTACAGTGATGACAGGTGTGATATAACCGCTGATAGTACAGTGATGACAGGTGTGATATAACATGATAATTATTGATGACAGATTGTGATATAACCATGATAGTACAGTGATGACAGGTGTGATATAACCATGATAGTACAGTGATGACAGGTGTGATATAACCATGATAGTACAGTGATGACAGGTGTGATATAACCATGATAGCACAGTGATGACAGGTGTGATATAACCATGATAGTACAGTGATGACAGGTGTGATATAACCATGATAGTACAGTGATGACAGGTGTGATATAACCATGATAGTACAGTGATGACAGGTGTGATATAACCATGATAGTACAGTGATGACAGGTGTGATATAACCATGATAGCACAGTGATGACAGGTGTGATATAACCATGATAGTACAGTGATGACAGGTGTGATATAACCATGATAGTACAGTGATGACAGGTGTGATATAACCATGATAGTACAGTGATGACAGGTGTGATATAACCAGGATAGTACAGTGATGACAGGTGTGATATAACCATCATAGTACAGTGATGACAGGTGTGATATAACCATGATAGTACAGTGATGACAGGTGTGATAAAACCACAATGATTAAGTAATGAGTGACGTGATAAATAGTGTTATGGAACTTAGTGTTGCACTTGTAAGTAACACGAGTGTACATTTTAGATCAGGTGTACAAGGGTAGTACTAGTAACTTGGGTGTACATTGTACATCAGGTGTACAAGGGTAGTACAGTACTTACTAGTAACTCGTGTGTACACTCCAGGATAGCCGGGACGTGCACAACCTATTCCAAACGATACAACACCAATGAGTTCATATATGCCGTTGTTGTTGTACACCAGCGGGCCTCCTGAGTCTCCCTGAAACAGATATTATTTTCCGTGAGATTTTCTGTTGAGCAAAATATTCCGGGTCGTCTCGTCTCACCCGCGTAAAGGTCTCGGCCCCTTGTGGAGGTGTTGGCTAATTAGTACTGTGTTGTCCTCTAGTTCCCCTTAATCATATATATTGACTCAATTAACTTTAAGCTGTTGTGATATTTAGTTGACCATCACAAAGTTAAACTATAATGACAGAAAACGTTGTTACACACACACGCAGCTTGGCACCTGTGACACACGTACACTCGCTACACGCCTCACTAGGGCTTCTGGTACCCTATAATCCTCTACTTCATGTTGTCACTCTCAACACAAACTTGCTTCACCGTTTCTTTCATTATTTGTCACTTAATATGAAACGAAGAGAGTATTATGCACTCACTTGGCAGGAGTCCTTGCCATTAGCTGCGGCACACACCATGTTGTTGAGGATGATACCGTTGTAAGCTTGATTGCAGTAGCTATTATGACAGACAAACAGATCTGCCTCCTGCAGGGTTGGGCTTATGCTTCCTCCTGAACAATAAATTTATCAGTTTAATAAAATAATCATGTAATTTTCCGAAGAATATTTATTTGTATAAGAGGGTTTATGTCTGTGTACGTGTCAATGGTCACCAGGGAGGTAAGAGTGAATAAGAAGCATTATTGTTACCGTTGTCTCTAGCCAGGTAATGTTACACTGGCTTACTGTATATTATTTGAGCAGTTTTATGCTTAGGGGAAATAAATATTCTAATAATATGTGGGAGAAAATATTTCACCATGATGATGGGTCCAAATCATAAATCTTTGTCATTCATTTACATCATTCTTCTGTAAAAAAAAAAAAGTATAAGTATGACGAGCTAATATGTGATTTATGTTTGATGAGAACCGCTGTCAGCTCTCCTATGTGGGACAAAACTAAACAGAATTAACTGGGAGGAAATCATTAAAGAGGAACCAGACACAGATGAAGGAACGCAAAACCTTATGGGAATCCTTAAGATGACAAGAAGAAGGAATAAGACCAGCTCTATTGAAGCCTGCAACCAGATGAGGAAGGAATACAGGAGCTCAGGGCATCATACAAAACAGCCTTAAATGTGGTCAATCAGGAAAGTAGATCAGTCAAACGGTACTTCAAGTATCCCAAGTCCTTTTTTGTGTAGGTCAGGAGTAAACTGAGAATCTAGGATACTGTCGGCCGTCGAAGGGAGGACATCAACGTGGCTCTAAGGGATGACAAACAAACAGCTGTTACCTTAAATGAATACTTTGCCTCAGTATTCACACTAGAGATGAAGGATAACCTCACTAGCCAGTAACCTAAGAGAATGTATACCAGAGGGAAGGAAAATGAATTAAGAGTGATAACAATTAGAGAAGATATTACCGAAAGGAAAGTTGTCAGATTAAAGAATTCAAAGTCCCAGTAGTGGACGGAGCACAGACCAATGTGATAAGAATTTACACCAAATGTAATAAACAGTATGTGGTGAATTTTTTGTTTTCATCGTTGAGTTGAGAGACGTAAAGAATAGCTGTCACCTTCACTCGTAGTGCCCCAGCCAGACACAGTGACCCTTTCACCAACGTAGAGTCTGTTCTTATATGGAGGGAGACACACTGGTGCTTGACCATACTTGGTGAAGTCCAGTGGCTGCGTTGTGTGTAGCAGGGCTATGTCGAATCCGTTCACGGAATTGACATAGTCTGGGTGGACTACTTTCTATAAATAAAGATATTTGCATATCAATCCATATATTCCCTTAGCACAAAACATTGATTACTAATTTGATAACTCAGAATATGATTATAATTTGAGCTGTAAGTGTGTACAGTTAATGGTTTTGGGTTATGTATAACCAGTTAATATATGTAAATTACATCCTGTTATGCAATAATTATTTCGTTCAATTATTTTTACTTCCAAATATTTTTTATTCTATTCATCTGTTTCGTTCTTGTCAGGTGGACTAAACAGTATATATAAAACACTTGAGGGACTCCAGATCTTTACCTGTAGTTTGTCTCATCCACTACAAGACAAACAGATGAGGGGTTTATGTTTACAAAATAAAAAGTAAACAAAAGTTAATTAATAACTGACATACAACTGACATATTAAAGTGTCAGTTCTGTTCAGCCGATATGCAGCTTTACTCACCCAATTGACTGCGTAGAGATATGCCGGGTCCTGGGTCTCAGTTCCGGTAGTGAAATCGTGGTCGCCCACCAGTACTTCTATAGCATTGCTGAAGTGGTAAAGTTAAGATGGCATTAAATGTTCGAGTCATTGTACACAAAAAGTTTAAAGTTATTGTACTCTAGGGAAATTATTCATCATATCCTGACGATTAAGTCTTGGCAGGGAATGTTTATCGTACTCAAAAGTATAATGTGAGTACTTACCTGTCAATGCAGTGAGCAGCGGTCAGGACCCAGTGGTTAGAAATGATTGATCCTCCACATACCAAGTATTTTCTGCCATTTACTACCCTAACTAACCCGACATGCCATGGGTATTCATTGACAAGCGTTTCAGTTCCCCCAACAATGCGAGAACCCTTGTTGGCTTTCCCACACTCTGGATATAAGAGAAAGAAATCGCCTTCAGTATATTGTCAGCTTCTTAATACCTGTGTTGTAATATGCCGGCTGGTCTGTACCTCTATTGGCTATATACATGTTGAACCATTGTAAGGTAGTGAGCTAAGTTTACAGGGTAATTATCTATCTAACTAATAGCTGCTTCAACAACTATGGTGATTAAACACGTTAATGAGTCATTCTCTAACCATAACAAGACTATTAGAAATATATGTATATAAGATAATATTTTTTCTTGCCTTCAGGTTTGTTTAGCGAGGAACCCACTTTTGGATCACCTGAAGATCAACCATCCTAACGCTATCCTAACCTGAATTAACCTAACCAAACCTAACCTGAATTAACCTAACCTAACTTCATTCTGCCCAGGTAGCGTTAGGGTGGTTAATCTTCAGGTGAATTTAGCTGTGGTTTCTCAATCTTCAGTATGATCAGTAGTTGGAACAATTAGACCACCTTTACCTGTTGTGTTGAACAAGAATGATAATCAACTAAACTATATTCCCCTGTTATTACTTTAACATTTAAGTATAACTCTTCTATCATTAAAAATAATAAATAATAATAATAATAATAATAATAATAATAATAATAATAATAATAATAATAATAATAATAATAAAAAAAAAAAAAAAATAATAATAATAATAATAATAATAATAATAATAATAATAATAATAAAAATGGTTCCTTTTTTCATGATACGGTTTTTAAAGTTTGTGTGTGTGCGTGCATGCGTTTGTGTGTGTGTGTGTGTGTGTGTGTGTGTGTGTGTGTGTGTGTGTGTGTGTGTACAGCTTAAGTTTCATACAAGCTTTGAATCCCTGAAAGTCATTTGTGGTGAGAAGAAAGAATTTTATTTCCCTAAAACGCATGTTGTCTCCTTTCGAGTGTGGCGGAACTAAGTGTGATGGAACTGAGTGTGATGGAACTAAGTGTGATGGAGCTGAGTGTGATGGAACTAAGTGTGATGGAACTGAGTGTGATGGAACTAAGTGGATGGAGCTGTGATGGAACTAAGTGTGATGGAACTGAGTGTGATGGAACTGTGGAGTGATGGAACTAAGTGTGATGGAACTGAGTGTGATGGAACTAAGTGTGATGGAGCTGAGTGTGATGGAACTAAGTGTGATGGAACTGAGTGTGATGAAACTAAGTGTAATGGAGCTGAGTGTGATGGAGCTAAGTGTGATGAAACTAAGTGTAATGGAACTAAGTGTGATGGAACTGAGTGTGATGGAACTAAGTGTGATGGAACTAAGTGTGATGGAACTGAGTGTGATGGAACTAAGTGTGATGGAACTAAGTGTAATGGAACTAAGTGTGATGGAACTAAGTGTGATGGAGCTAAGTGTGATGGAACTGAGTGTGATGGAACTAAGTGTGATGGAACTGAGTGTGATGGAACTAAGTGTGATGGAGCTGAGTGTGATGGAACTAAGTGTGATGGAACTGAGTGTGATGAAACTAAGTGTAATGGAGCTGAGTGTGATGGAGCTAAGTGTGATGAAACTAAGTGTAATGGAACTAAGTGTGATGGAACTGAGTGTGATGGAACTAAGTGTGATGGAACTAAGTGTGATGAAACTAAGTGTAATGGAACTAAGTGTGATGGAGCTGAGTGTGATGAAACTAAGTGTAATGGAACTAAGTGTGATGGAACTAAGTGTGATGAAACTTTCTATAACAAGTAATACTTAAAGGAGATAAGGACTAGTTTATGTTTCACTGTGCTTAACATAGACTCACGACACCTGCATTAAACTTACGACAGGCTCTCGAGGCGGAGTTGAAAGAGTCCTCGCCGGCGTCTCCTCCTCGTGCTGTGGTAAAAATATTAATACTTTTTTAGTGAAATTAAATTAGTGAGAGTTTTAACTGTGTCTTTAAAACGTAATCAACTATGTACTAAACTGTGGAGATTACCTGACATCTGCCTAACACACCTGTCTGACACGACACACCTGCCTGTTGTTTTAGTTATACGGACAATAACACAGAGGCAGGTGTGTGACCCCCACATAGACTACTGAGTTACTACCACCTTCATGACGTCACAGCTATCCCTTCCACAATGAATCTGTTACGTTACAATTACTCGGATAAAAGCTTTCTAATTCAACAGCAATGTGGAATATGGAGAAGGTATCAATCGTCTCAACAGCTTGAAGTGGTGGTCGTATCAGCTGACTCGAGGTAATGTGTCTATTGAACAAACTGAACACAAGAGTCTTCCTGCTTCTCGTTAACCAGAGGACATAGTATGACTCAGACACTTACGTCGAGTATTGGTGTTGTCGAAGTCCTTTGGCTCTGGTATGTCAATAGTGAAGTTGTCAGCAGGCACAACAGGTGGCGGTATTGTCCCATTGAGTCGCTCTGAGAACAGCTCCTGAAGCTCCTCGTCCTGTAAAGCGATGACGCCACTTGGCCCAAGATCCGGCTTCCTGGGAGAGAAACTTTGTAATTACTATGAGGTTCAGTCACCTAACTTATACCTGGTACAGTGGCTGGCGCGTTTTGTGAGATGTGGTAACTCTGTGTTTGTTACATCGTATTACAACTCCCGGAATGGTCCTAAGGAACCTCGTAATAGCAGCCAGACTAAGGATACTAGATATGCATTCCACAGAGATGCCACATCACACAAAACGCGTCGGTCACTGTACCAGTTATAAGTGCAACCGACTGTACATGTAATTAATTATTTTAATGAACTACGGTTAAGACCATAAGACAGTAACTATTCATGAAGTATTTGTTAATGAAATTTTGATAAATTTCGCAAAATATTGAGCATTAAAAAGAAAACCAAGGAAATTATTCTATATAGATTAATACGATGCTTATTTTTTAATTTTTATTTATTTTTTACTTAAGGTAGAAGATTGAGCCAGACTTACTTGATATCAAACGACTTGGCCTCACACTCCAGCCACACACACTGACAAAAATAAGATAAAATAATCAGAATCCATCACTAGTGACTGGCGGGGGAACTAAACACGTTATACGAACATTATTAAACCTGAAAAAACAAAACACATTATTAAAGGATTTGTGAACTTGAAGCAATGTTGACACCAGTACTTAATATTATACCATGTTTGTCACCACCACACACACACACACACACACACACACACACACACACACACACACACACACACACCACACACACACACACACACACACACACACACACACACACACACACACACACACACACACACACACACACACACACACACACACACACACACACACACACACACACACACACACGAAAGGTTTAAAAACAAACTTTAGATAATGTTAGCTTCAAGAGTATAATATTGTCACCAACTACGGGCCAATTGTACAGTATCACCGTACTTGTTGGTGTTAATTAGAAAACTTACCACAGTATTTACACTCTTCAAATATATTACTGATCATATATTTACTCTCACGGGGAAGTTCAAAACCAAAATTAATATTGATAATTATTCTTTGTGTTCAGGTGGCACCAGAACTATGCCCCAAGAGGCGCTCATACGAACGATTAAGTGACTGAACAGATACAATATATAATTACTGAACACTTGAACCGTGCAGACAGAAGGACTGAGAAAGGAACGAACACCCATGTGAGCTAAAGCCGAGACGAAAGAACGATGACAGCCAAGATGAGCCTGACAGACTGCCTCACTACACGCCTGACAATACCATACAGTGATGATACGACTTCCTTGTGGGTGTAGGGACATAAGTGTGGTGGTGGAGGGTGACAGCCTGTGTGGTGGAGGGTGACAGCCTGTGTGATGGAGGGTGACAACCTGTGTGGTGGAGGGTGACAACCTGTGTGGTGGAGGGTGACAGCCTGTGTGGTGGAGGAAGAGGCACTCACCAGAAGTGAGAGTGCTAACACCAGCTTCTGGGCTGTCATGGTGACGGGGGAGACCTTCTCTTGGTTATCGTGACGCAGTAAGAGAATTCTCTGGTGACGGAGGCGGTGCTGGTGACGGCCGTCCACTGCTGAAGGAGACCAGCAAAGATGGGGCTTTTATACACAGCTTCGCCTCCCACCTGTGCCGTACACCTGTGTCGTAAAACCCTCACACTGACTACATACTGACTAAGGATTCACATTATGTAATCAAAATTGGTTTAACTTTCAACAATGTGTTAAATAACCAATTTCTTCCTCAAGTGATGGACAGAACTATTAAGAAAATGAGCAGCGACCAGCGTGAAGTAGAGGGCTGATGTAGAGAGGTTGTGGGTGGCGTGTGTGGGTGGGGTGGGGGTGGTGGTGGGTGATGGTGGTGGGTGGGGGTGGTAGTGGGTGATGTGTGGGTGGGGGGGTGGGGTGGTGATGGTGGTGGGTGGGGGTGGGGTGGTGGTGGGTGATGGTGGTGAGAGGGGGGGGTGGTAGTGGGGGATGGTGGTGAGTTGGGGTGGGTGGTAAAGACAGATATCAAATAGGAAATATTAAATTATTTTTTATGACTCACTCGTTCCTGGAGTTACGTCACGACCTCAAGTTATGCTGTGTCAAAGTAAGTACACCATCACAAACACCTTACAAAGAACTAATGAATAATTATCACTACAAAAGTATAATACGTAAAAAAAAAATAATTAGTTTTATTTAATGGATACAACTTATTTCTGTAGAACAATGCGCAGAACATAAGAGGAATGACCGTACAAAAGGTAACTCTAGAGAAATTTGACTGACACTCGTCCATCAACACCAGACAGCACGACTCATGGTAAGTTGTTGTGTTACATGATAGTTTATTGATGTTTTAGAATAAGAAGATTTTTATTTTATTTTTTACTATTGTTTATTGCAACGATATGGTTCTTTACTTTCTTGTAGCGATGATGATGATGATGATGATGATGATGATGATGATGATGATGATGATGACGATGAAAATGCTGATAATGATAATGGTTATGATAATATAAGGTATATCATACACACACCTGCGACACACTACAATATACAACTTTTTATACAACCAGGAAAAAACAAAACCTTTTATTCAGCTGGTTGTGATGGTGTTAGTTGTGACTTGTCGTGGTTATGTTAGGTTAGGTTATGGTGCTTGTAGAGGATGTGGTGGTGGTGGTGGTAGTAGTAGTGGTGGTGGTAATAGTGGTAGTAATGGTGGTAGTAGTATATTAGTGGTAGTAGTGTCAATAATGGTGGTAGTAGTGTCAGTATTAGTCGTGGTAATGGTAGCAATAGTGGTAGTAATGGAGGTCACGTACAGGTCAACACTCATCGCTTTCATCCCCAGCTGGTCATAACATTTACCAAACAGCCTAATGACCACAGATGCTCGTTAGTCTCCGTGTCCTGAATCACTCAAATGTAAAGGAGTTTCCGGTTTACGTAAGCAACTGGGGGTGAATGAGGCAGTGGTGGTGGTGGGTGAGGGGGTACTTTTGGTCACCTTGTATAGCTTATGACCTATGACCTTATGACCCTCTAGTGATGACCCAACTTTATGTCATCAGAATTTGAATTAGATGATTGTACACGTGTATACCTCAAATGTTTACTACACCATCCTTAACACTCCCGTCACCCAGGTGTATAGATAACGTGTGTGTGTATGTATGTGGCGTAACACCTTCAAACAACATTAATTATACAACATTAATTTGCCTTCAACAGTTAAATAGAAGAGCAAAATATATAACTTGATCTTTTCAACTCCCAAATTAAGATGCAGTTCCTCTCTCTATAGCAATTAAACTACCTGGGGAAAACTGTTTAGAGTCGCAGGTAATGGGACAGGTGAGGTGGGACAGGTGAGGTGGGACAGGTGAGGTGGGACAGGTGAGGTGGGACAGGTGAGGTGGGACAGGTGAGCTGGTGGTGTCTGATCATATTTATGCATTTTATCTCACACAAGTTCGCCTGACTAACAACTTTCAACAACCATATCCAGAATTTTTTTTAATTAAATTATGAAAAATAAAGAAGAAATTGATAAATGTTTTGTGTGTAGTGAATTATGCTCGATTAAATGCCCATAGTTATTTTCTAAGTAATTTGCGATTGTTAACTATAAATACAATAAAATTTCTTCACAATCATCTATTATAGTAAGTAAAACACACACACACACACACAAACACACACACACACACACAAACACACACACACACACACACACACACACACACACACACACACACACAACCAACCCCAGTACGTCGCCAGATGATGTAATTACCACAGTCAATCAATCAATCAATCAATCCCAGATCATCAACACAATACCTGGTGAGAAGGAGTCCCACCTCACACTCCCTTCTTCAGGATAACACTTGGGTCTTTAACCTGCCAGGACCTTCCCCGCCCTCTGCCTCGCCCTCTAAGGTGATGGTGTAGCCAGCTGCTTCACCGCCTCCTCCACAAGACAGAGTAACTCGATTATGCCAATTTATTTCTTCACGTCGGGGAGAGCTGGCTGATGAAGGCGTCTGATACAAGGCGGGGAACCTCTCTCTCTCTCTCTCTCTCTCTCTCTCTCTCTCTCTCTCTCTCTCTCTCTCTCTCTCTCTCTCTCTCTCTCTCTCTCTCTCTCTCATTTCTTTTTCTGATTGTATTTTCCCTCTATGTCTCTCCCAATTCGTCTCACCCCATCAAACACCCAGACAGACAGACAGACAGACAGACACGATTTATAACTTTCTCAACCAAGCCTTATTGAGTATAATGAGATACAGTGGGTATAGATGTCGCAGAAGCATTATATCGTCCACCTTTATAAGGCTCTATTGTCCACTCTACACTCAGTTATAAGTCTCTATGTCCACTCTACAGTCACTTATAAGTCTCTATGTCCACTCTACAGTCACTTGCTACATTAAAACTCTCCAGGTGTAACTGTCAGCATCATCTCCAGGTAAGTGGGTCCAAAACTCATTAACTTTACCTGTATTTTTGTGGTGGAGGTTAATCGGGAGGAAGGAGTGTCCCTCTCCCCCACTCTCCCTCATTCTCCCTCACTCTACCTCTCTCTCTCTCCCTCTCTCTCTCTCTCTCTCTCTCTCTCTCTCTCTCTCTCTCTCTCTCTCTCTCTCTCTCTCTCTCTCTCTCTCTCTCTCTCTCTCTCTCTCTCTACCTCACACACTTAATCGTCTCCTTAAGGCAAAATTACTTCTATATGTTACTCTTTTTCTCATCCAGGTGTTTGTCTGTCTGTCTGTCTGTCTGTCTGTCTGTCTTCTACACACTTTGTTCTTATCTTCCTATGCTTTATTTTCCCTTATTTATCATCGTTATTACTGTCCTTCATATTATTCCTATTCGTTTTATTTACTCACTGACTCACTCACTCACTGACCGAGAATAATTTGCTTCCTTAGACTAAATCAAAGTAAATTATCTGAAGTTTTATGTATTCTTATTTTTTATCTTCCGTGACATTTCCTCTTCGTTATTTTCTCTATCTTGTATATTCTTATAACCTTCCTTAATCTTTATCTAGTCTCGTCATTTATAGTTCCTCTTTGTATTCTTTCTCATTCATCTTATTCCCATCATCATCATCATCATCATCTTCTTCCCCATCATCTCCTATATCATCTTATCCTCCCCTTCTCTCTCTCTCTCTCCTTCTTTACCTCACCCTCATCTTTCATCACCCCTCCCTTCTACCTCTCTTCTTTGTTTACCTTTTCTCTTGTCTTACAAATTTTCCTGAAGTGTGATTCCCTCTTCTCTCATCCCTCTCCTTATCTCCTCTCTTCCTCTCTTTTCTCTTCTTCCCTCATTCATCATCTCAGATCTCATCCTCCATCTTCTTCGTGTCGTGTCGTGTCGTGTCGTGTTGTGTAGTACGAGAGTTTGGAACGACTGGTAATTCTTCAGGGTGTTGGTGTAGTGAGGGTGTAGTGAGGGTGTAGTGAGGGTGTAGTGAGGGTGTAGTTAGGGTGTAGTGAGGGTGTAGTTAGGGTGTAGTTAGGGTGTAGTGAGGGAGTGTCACTAGGGTATATTTGGTGATACTGATGTAGTGTGTCAGTAGATGTAGCAAATTTTACGACGGTATGGATTTTGAGTTATTGTTTAAAGGTGAAAACTTATAGGGTAGTGTGTGTGTGTGTGTGTGTGTGTGTGTGTGTGTGTGTGTGTGTGTGTGTGTGTGTGTGTGTGTGTGTGTGTGTGAAATATATGGAGCTCGTACACATATTAACTAACATATATTGTAAACACACACCTCTCCATCCCACTCACACATACCATCCTCCTCCCACCACACATACATACAGAGGATCTACCCACACACACACACACACACACACACACAACTCAAGGTACAAGCAACATATGTCTGTATATATATCCCTTTGGGCTGTCAGGGAACAACAACAAAAGCATAAATTGAGGATTTCCACGACCCCTGCCAGCCAGCGTCGCCACACAGGTAGGACACAAACCCTAGCGTCTCTTCCTGTTGAGTTAGTGTTGCAGGATACTTCAGTGACTCCTTTTTACGTTCCTTCAAAGTCCTGTGTTCTAATATCCTATCCTAAACTAATCTGAGAATCAACGTGGTCTAATTTGCTCACAACTTCAGATCAAAAATCAAAAAGGCGAAAAATTAACATGTCAGCCATCAGACAGAAGGTTAAAATGATGAGGAAATCTGTGTCTGGGGAAATATATCAGAGTTTTAGAGTTTTAGGGAAGGAAATGGGAGAGGTGGGAAGGGAAGAGGAGGGAAGGGAAGTGGAGGGAAGGGAAGTGGAGGGAAGGGAAAGGAAAGGAAACGACCAGACCAGCAAAACATAGCAGAACACATGTAGGGCGCTTACACACTAATTTACCTAAGTGGGAGAGAACGGAAAATAATCTTCCACTTCAATTAAAACCAAAACAAAACTACTCTCCTAAACTGACCTCTTCTTTCTTCTTTCTTTTTTTTTATTTCTTTTTTTTTTGTTTTCCTTCAGCCATCATTATCGAGCAACATGGACCAGCTCCTCCTCCCTCTCCCCCTGATTAC